TGAAGTGTGATCCCTTCTCAACACAATGGTGATATACTGGTACAATGAACTGTTATTTATTGTACCAGTTTACACCTGACGAAGCTACTGTGTTAGCGAAACATGTTGTGTGTTTAAGAATTTTGGGGAAATCTTATCGTTTGTGAAGTTTTTACATTTACCATGGATTTCCATCAAGTAACGGCCGAGTCAATTCAAAAAATATATGTGTAAATGTTCAGTGAAGTGTGAAGAACCGTGAAGACCCAACTCTCATAATATGTGCAAACACTCTTTCTCCCAATCTTCAAGTCATGAACACCTTTTTCCTTTCCATAATTTCCTTGTTTCTCAACCTTGTTTCAAATACAGCTTAGGATTGCCCCGATTATGGAAAGGTATGGAAGCTATATTCGGGATTATTTTGCCCAAGATGAACAATGGGGAACACAGCAATAGTGATTCATGTATTTAAATGTTTATAACAGTTCTCAAACATAATTATAGACAATTAAAAGACAACTACGCAAACTGATGTGATGTGAACAAAGCAATCAATGACTACTAATCTACGTTCGCCTATGAAGGAAACAACTGTTGGGGTGCATATGAGTAGGTATCCAACAGACCCAGAGACCTAAACAAATGAACATGAAAACTACTTTGGTGTTTCTGTGCTTTGTAGTTGCAGTTCTTGTAAGTATCTCCCCAGCAATCATTTCAATAAACATTTGCTCAGTGATGAAACGATTTTGTGCCCTGTTTTTTTTTGGCTGGCGCCATGAAGTATATGGTATTTTAAGGTAGTTACTGAACTGTTGTTAGGGTGCGATAAATATCATATCATATCGAACTGTTTTACGAAAGTTTGGAACACGAGTATATTTGAGATGGAAATAACATGAGCATCTTTCATATACTTGCGTCTGAAATCTATTTCCCCCATACTAATTTTTGAACAACCTGTTATATCTCGAAGAAATTTACAGGGCTCAAATAGGAGGTGCCAATGTACTATTTTTCTTGCAAAAACTATATAGCTCATAAGTTTCGAAATGTCGACTAGCGCCATCTCGAATTATTTTTTTTAAATGAAACACCCCTCAGGTCGTTTAAATATTATTCCATTTTCAAAATTTTACCATTTTTCAGTCCTAAATTCAATAGTTTCCGAAATATAAAAGTTTGAGAAGTGACATTTTCGTGATTTGATACCCAACCACAACCTCGAATGCTGCTGTCAATCAGGCTTGCTTTGGAAACAAATCGGTAACATTTTGATATGTCCAAAAGCAAACTTGATTGAAAGCTATATTCGAGTTTTTGATTGTGTTTGAAATGACCAAAATGTCACTGTCCAAACGTTAATTCTTCGAAAAATAATGAATTTAGGAGTAAAGTGTATCGAACAGAACTGTTAAGAATTATGAGTCAATTCCGAGAATGGAATAATATACGTTAGTGATCCATTTGAAAAAAGAAATCGAGACAGCTCTCAGTTGCCATTTTTGAAACTTCAAGCTGTCATTTTTCTATGAAAAAGTAGAATAACATCTCCTATATTCGGACATTCTAATTATTGTTGTTATATACCTGGTTGTTCAAAAACTAGTAGGTGGGGAACAAGCTTTAGACGGACACTGTATATGTTTTTGTAACATATTCAGCTTCTTCATAACTGAAATGTTTGTCATTTTGATGAAATAATCTTCCATCAATTTGAAACTTGATCATTTCGATCAATAAAATATATGTTCATTCATAGATTAACGATGGTTCATTGGAGCAGACATTGTATTATGTGTAGAAGCGGCATATTCAATATATTCGAGCAATGGGCTTATATCACAAAAAAAAATGTATTTCATAATTCGATAGAACTCACCCAAACTAGCTCACCACCGCAAACCGTTTCTTGCTGTGAGCTCCCTACGTTTTATAAAAAATTATTGAAATCCCCGATTTTTCGGACCTCTGAAAACGAGGCGATGATGTGACGTCAAAATTCTAATACTGAAACAAGACTATTCCAGACAGAGATGAATGATACATGATTTCTGACAGAGTGAATTAGCGTGAGATCACAGTTGAAAGAATAAATATGTCAGTTGCCTTAGTCTCCGTCGGGCGTTTGGTATTTTCTTTAAACTATGGCGCGATGAGGTTTCTACGTCATAAGAGGGTCTGTTTTCAGAAGATACTATTATTTATGTCCAAAAATAAAACATTCAGGTTAATTTTCCGATCGAATTATGTCGTCAATCATTATTTATGTATAAAAAGATCATTATAAACATGGTTTGAGTTAAAAGTTCTACTAAGGTGTACACGCCCATTATCGCAAGTGGGTAGAATTAATAATGTTTGCCAAGCGTGTCAGTTTAACAGAAATTCCTAAACTGACATTCTTTGTGATTATGCAACAAGTTATCGATGTTCATCCCGAATATTTCGAAGTACTTATAGTATAACTACTGATGATACAAGTTGCCTTGTGAGATTTCTGAGATGAGTGAAATAGTCATAGATATGTTTATACAGTGAGGACGTAAAAAGTCCTCCCCCACCCCCTTCTAACCTCTAAACGGAACAAGCTAAAAATATGTTCTGTTGAATAATGCTAACAGATATTTCTAGTAAAAGTTTTATATCATTATAATGAAAAATTAAGTTGACAGTGGAAACAGAGGTAGAACCTTTTTTTGCAATCAATGTTCAATACAAATGTCGATTAATTTGTTTTCACTGCCAAATAATTTTCCATTACAAATGTATCTAACTTTTACTAGAAATATCTGTCAGCATCATTGAAGAAAATGTTCTGAAAAAAATGTCAAGGTGTGAGGGAGGTTTTAATCCTTCTACAGTATGTTTCAGGTTTCTTTGATTACTGAAAAGAGGGTTATCTTCTGAAATGCATTTTTATCAAATTCCATTCAATTTGTAACACTCATTTTTGACCAGCGCACAAAAATATGTTTCTTAAACTTTGAACTCATCTCACAGACAAACGGTACATTTTTTCATATAAATAAGTTGGGTCCAATCAACTCATTTTGAACTGTATTACACGTGATAGCTCTTCGTCCAAGCAATTTTGGGAACCTGTATTTTTGAATATTTTGAATTCGAAAAATTATATAAAATATAGGGTGTTTCATTAAAAAGAATTGTATAGAACGTCATGATTCAAACGTGGATCAACCTGTATATCTGGTTTCCACTTATATAAATGTGGCGAATTAGGAATAAAGTTCGACCTGTTTCAAGATATTTCTCAGAAATGAATAGTTTGGCTAAAAATAAATGTATTTGCATTATCAGGATGAAGTTTACGTTCATGAAGTAGGTAGATAGGTGATCGATGATTCGATAAAATGAAGCAATAATAGGTAGATAATATGTCATGACTTTCAAGTGTGAGAAATACAAACACATTCTCCCAATGTTATAATCAATTTATTTGACTTTCTTCAGCACATTTCAACAAAATAGTCTCTTTAGTAGGGGCTTAACTACCCTCATTAACTTCCTTCCCTCGTAGGTACACATCAAGGTGTCCCGAAATTAGCCTGCAAAACTTAATCATCAGCGGCTTCTACAACAACAAAAAAAAGAATTTCTATACACCCTGTATAAGGATCTGATCTGTTCAGGGGCTCTCATTTCTGTTACTGGTATGGATAAAACATTGTTCTTCTTCTCATAGCTTGGTTTAATTGAAACAAAGTAGACATTGTGTATGAATATAGTATGTATAATTAAGCCATATATACCAATAAGTGTTTTGTTTTGGGTTCTCCTTCATTGCGAACAAACAATTGCTCGAGAAGAAGAATAATAACACAGTAAAACACATTCGTTAGTTATCAATACTTTTTCGATTATCTTTCATATACAATGTTTACTCTGGGATGAAATATTGGTAGTGGTCAAGATAAAATTAATATAATAACAGAATATATACAGGGTAATGGTTTATTCATATTCGACGTACATCATTGATTTTTCGCAAACCAAAACAAAATGAGATAATGCTGTGCTAGGAAACAGTATCCTCTGAAATATTCATTTATATATCAATATAGTGTGTTCTCTTTCGATATTAGCCAAACCGTCAGATATATGGACAAAATTTAAATATAGAGTTTCATGAGAACTATAACCTGATACTTATTTATACACCAAGGTATAGTAAAGAATATCACTATTACCCAGCGACCAAGATTATGGTCCCGTAGTAATAATATTCTCTAGTACCAAGGTGTATATTCAATTTTTTCCACCTCTAGTAATTTATTTCAACAATAAATAAAATTTTCCTGATGTATATAGGAATAGGGTGTTCAAATTCCAAGATATCGGCTGATGATTTTTGAATGGTACACCCTGTTTTGTTCATGCAGATCATGCAGAAGTACCGCCAAACTGATATAAACCAACGTAACTCATGTTTCACCAAAGCATTCTTGATGAGATGGAATTGAATAATATACAACAATATTATTCTTGAAGGCATTATAAATAATATCATACATTTGTATCATTATTTTATTTGTATTGTAATGCATTGCCAAATAATGAGAATATACCTCGGAGAAGACGTATTTCATTTTGTTGGATATGAAAATTTTCTAATTCAAAGCACGAATGACATTTATTTGCTAAAAAATCGATTGATATCGAAAACGGCAATATTTAGGTATAAACCATAGATTAACCTTTAATAGAAGTCAATATTGCTCAAAGTTTTGTTACAAATATTCTGCAAACGAAACGATTCCGAGTTTATCTTCACCCAGTATAATTTGTTTTTTATTATTTATCTAGAAACTTGGAATCCAAAATGATGATTAGCGTCGAAATCAAATAACCCTGTAAGGAAATACCAGTTGATATTGATTAAAAACAAAGAAATTTCCATCATTACAAGAACTCTTTGTGTTTATACCCAACTGGTTATCCCGATCAAAGACCTGAGTAGGTATATATACAAGATGCTGTTTTCAGTTGGAAATGAACATTTTATCTAAGATAAATTTTCTCTCCGAAGATACTGTTCGATTTCTGGTCAAAATGAGATCTACGTTGGTGTTTTTGTGTCTTGTGGTCGCAGTTTTTGTGAGTATCATCGCTATCGATATTGAGAAATAATACTATAGCATTTCAATGCAAACTGACATTTTTTTACATATTCTTTGTCAATTGAATAGTGTCAATACTGTCAATATGTCAATATGGAATTTGAAATGACATGAAATTTCATATGTATACACCTGTTTCAGTTTGGAAGAAGAACTCTGATTCTGTTGAAAATACTCACAGAAAGTATTCATTGGATATCAATAGATTTTGAAAAAATCTCGATAGAATTTCGTTTTTCAGAATAATTATCCAAAATTATATACGCGAATTAAATATCTGCTGCCGATTTCTTGATAAAGTGTTTATTTTAACACGGTTTTTCATTATGATACAGATTTCGACCAATGATGACACGCACTTCTCATTATAAAAAGAAATTGAGAGGAAACACTTACTTGGGTATAATCAAGTGGGTCTATATTTCTTTCTAACAACGCGTCAAAAGTACAGGCAATTTATGGACTGACGCTGTTGGAAAATGTTGAAATATTAATAGTTAAAAACTAATTTTTATTTTTATTATTTATATATGTCCTAGAAAAAATAATGTATCCGACGATTATGTAATGGCTATCAATACATGATCGTTACATAATAGTTATTCATACACCAAGGTAGTAAAGTATATCATTATTACCCAGGGACCAAGATTATATCCCAAGGCAGGCGAGTGGTGCTACCAGGTGTATATTTCATTTTTACACCACTAGCAATACATTTCAATCATTTTAGTTCTGTGAAACTGAAATATGAACCAATTGTCACTATAAAAACACTTATTTTTAATTCTAATCGAAATCTAGTCACCATGACAACATTTGACAAGTTTTTATTGATAAATACCTATACTAGATTCAAGTGCCATTCCTGTGAATATCGCATGAGAACACTGAACTCGAATCAATTATAACAGAGGTGGCCATGTCTTCACTGACTAGTGTTTCATGAAATGACGAAAACTACCTTGGTAGTAAAAGCACACTTTACGCCTCGAAAAGGAGTAAATAATGGTAGGCTCTATTGCTATTGGTGGAAAAAAAATCCCTACCACTTGAAATTCAACATATTCCAACATCTCCAGTCGATGAATTATTGCCTGTACCTTTGACGCATTGCCATTGAATGTCAATTAAAATTAAATGTCAAATAACTCAAACTTGTATGACGAATTGACCACTTGAATACTGTCTGTAGGTTTATCGAGGAGGTGGTACGCTAGATTATCTGAGATTTTCTCTACTCGTTTCTATAAAATAAAAATATAAGTATCATTTCACTATACGTGTGGTAGGACAAATCAGATGATTAGCACCAAAATGTCACTGCATTTAAACATTTTTCAATCAAGAGCCTAGAAGAAAAATCCAATCGTTTGTTATTGATAATTCATTTTGAAAAATGTTTGAGGAAAAGAAATATCGATATATTGAAAAAATATCGATTTTCTACTCATCTTTGGACGTTTCCACATCGCTTCGCTCGTCAAGCAGATGCTCATCGTTACATTGTAGCCTACTTTTCTCCACTTTGAAATAATTATCAAAAGAATAAAAAATAAGTCACACATATGCTAACGGCAGCTTTTCATCGGAGAGCAGATAAGTGAGTTCTTTTCTAGTAATTTCATTGAAAAATTCAAGTATATAGGGCGCCACTCAATTTGCTAAAAAATATATATGTTCAAGAGAGAAATTGAGAACATCACTGAGGTTCCAGGAGTATTGATGAGATAATATTCTGGAATAAAAATCACAAGTATTTTCCTGGATTGTTGAGACACATGAAGAGATGAATAAAACCATGTAAAATTTAAAACCTATTTAATGTGCCAAAAAACAGACAGAGCTCCAAAATCACTGCAGAGGACAGCCTAGGGTTCTATTAAGGTAATTCTTAAAAAAATGATATTGCAGTAAAAATTGGTGACAATTATACAGCAGTTCTCGAAAAACATATCACATGATGAATGATCATACAATTATAACAAATAATGAAAGTGAAATAAGTGAAATCATCATAACCCACAAATCAAACAGGGTGATATACTGATACTGTGTAAAGGTGCGCAATCAGAACTACTGCCTCATAGTACTATGGGGGAGAGTGGGCACTTGGGGGGTTAAAAGTGGTGATGATAATTTCGAGTTATATAAAAATTTGAAAAATCCCTAAATCCCTAACAAAAACCTGGCAAAATATGGTATGGTGACAAGTCCTCTTCAGAGATCCTGTGAAGCTCCTATCACAGGCTGCTTGGTGGCATGGCGTGCAGCATAGGTCACTGCAGGCACGATGAGACAGCGAACGATGAATCCCTGGAATGGGGAAGGTATCCCCTACCAGCCCACGGGGCTAAACCCCTCTGTTCCTCCTTCCTGGCGTCCCTAGATGATGTAACAAAAGGGAATAGCCCAGTATGTCGGCTTCCCCTTATGGTGACCATCAACCTGATGAACCTCCTGCAGTCTGCTCTGGCCAGGATCCAATGGCCTAGAGGGATCTACGCTGACAGGAGAGTCCTGGCGAGGGCGGAAATAAGGGCTTCTAAAAGGGACGGTCGAACCCGCCAAAGGAAAGCAGAAAAGGCTGGCAGAAGCATCTCATCCCCATCTCATAGAAAACATTCAGGCTATCCTAAAACCCTATTGAAAAAAAATAGGCCATAACTTCCCATTCCGCACTATACAATCAGCCCCACTGAACCTCAATCAACGTCTTCGAAATATCGACTTACCTTCTGAAGAAGGGCTAGGAGAGTCAAACCGGGTACCATGCTGTCGGCGTCCCATCGCTGGTGGCAGTTCCAAGGTGGTGTCACAAATCGGCCAACAGGTCAAACGAAAGGAAACACCACTAAATTTGAGTGAAAAACCTCACAAATCCCACATAGGGTCAACTATCGTTGATAAAAAAATTCACATCAAATTTTACATGTGTGCCCTTCAGAAGCCACCTTGGAAAAAGCCAAGATGCCGGAAACTTCGTCAGCAATTTCCGCTATCTCCCCTCCACCTTTTCACGATGCCAATCTTCCAGATTGAAATTTCCCTAACGTCAATTTTATACCCACTGAACTATTTCATATCTCACAAAACTTTAAGAAGATCAGAAGAAAATAAAAGAAGAATGGTCGACTTCTTCTTCGTTGATTCGATGCTGCTTCTGAAGACTGTGCTAAGATGATCTCCATCCAAGGCAAGTGACAGCGTTGACATTGTTAAGTGACAGTGTTGACACTGTTAAGTGACAGTGTTGACACTGACGTGCGGAAGGAATGCATAACCTATATTTTCAGCCAATAAAATAAAAAAAACAATTAGGCAATCCAACGACCTGTCAAATAATTTCAAAATGGCGTCTGGTTGGCAAATAAACCAAAGACAAGTTTGTATACTTGAGAACTTTGTGGGTTTTGGAAGCCTCTTACAGTATTATTTTATCGAGTTTCGGCTAGATTTATTGTGAATAATGAAAACTCAGTATGATTTCGAAGAAAAAATTGCCAGTAACGTGAATTGTGGTGGATTGTGGAAGCAGTGCAGATCGGGACCATTTGCTGTTTTGTCACATTCCTACTGTAATACTGTGATAAACTCTGAGCATTACCCACAGATGAAGGATCTATCAAGAAAAATAAGGGAAATGTGGATAGCAGCCATCAAGAGAAAGAATCAGCAACAGAATCAATCATAATAAACCAGAGGATATGTGGCAGACACTATTTTCATAACAGGTATCTAAGAAAAAGGATTTTAATATTATTTATATGTACCTACCTACTCTAGAACTGATGAGTTTAGTGTTTCATCCTATGGGAAACTTTTTTTTTTTCATTTTGATAAAATAAAGCAATACTCATTACTTTTGATGGTCCTACATAGTTTGGAAACATCATGTTTCTAATACATAAATAAATCATCTACCTTGTAGGAGAACGTAGTGCCTGAAAGATGAGAATATCCAGCTTGGGTCCCATTGCAATATAATATGGGTAATCAATCTCTTGTCCATTTGAAATGCAAGACTGATGTGGATCAAAAACTGAGAGCAGACAAAAGGATCAAATCATGAATCAAGCATCAGAACCGAGAGACCTGGTATGTTTTCAAGAAAACACCTAATTACCTAATACTACTACTGCCTCATTTTTCATTTATTTTAGTGTAATGAAGAAAGTGTCCTTGGAGATAGAGAAAATTGGTGAAAACAAGGTGAAAATTTACAAGATTATTAGTACTTTTACAAATTACAGTTTATTTTTATCAATTATAAATGTAAGACAAATGAAGTAAGCATATCAAAATAATTGTAATATTTATCAAAAGAAAAATACATTGTATTATTCCACTATATCACAAAAGATCTACATGAGTCATGAAAAAATCTTCATAGAACATTATAGTTATTCAGTGATCTGATTGAAACAATAGTAAACAATGATTGAATGATATATTCATTATGAATAGGTACATATTTTTTCATAGAACTTGTTGAATCAGAATTCACAAAACCATGCTGATTCTGGTGTACCTATAATATCTACACATTTAAAATAGAACCATACAATTTCCCTTTATCACTGTCACAACTAGTTATAGGGGTTCCATCATCAGCACTTGAACACTTACACCAATAGTTCACTTCTGGTGAAATTAATATCCACCCGGAAGTCCAGGTATTATAACTTCAGCATGAAACTTCAAAGCAATTTGTGGATGTTGTTCCCAAAAAAACACATTTCTGGGACATTGAAGATATAGTAGGGATTTTGTATTAAACCAGTCAGAGCAACTGTACCTATGTCCATTTCTGCTATTGGTATGATGGGCACAATCATGGTGAGAGTGGTGGCATGGGCCACAAAGCACATACATCAGTACATGAAACTGTTCCTTATTTACTTGCCCAAGCCTCAAGTTACTTATTAGCACAGAATCTGATTGTGAATATTTTACCTATAAAAAAATTGCATGAGATATACATGAATATGAGGTAGGAAATATGTTTAAAAATATATGAATCACATAATTTCATCATTCAAAATGTTCCTATCATGAAAGTTATTTAGGTATAAAAGTAAAAAGTTACCTTTCCAACTATGACATGAAAATCATTTATCTTCCTGTCTACTTCCTGGACAAAAGTTGCTGAAAAATACTTGTGAACAACAAGGGGGTTGAATGCTTTCATTTGCTGATGAGGGTAGAAACTGTGGGTCACTATAAATAGTAGGAGAGAATTATGAGGTAGTCTAATCAGTCAGCAGTTTCAGATGTGGTGAAGGGCTTCAAATCCTTGTTCAACATCAGCTTCATCAGATATCTACAAACAAATTATGGTTGTATGATAGTTTCAGGAATGAAAATTTACTGGCTAGTTGAGAAAAATAGCCGAAAAAACAATAAATATTCATGTTTACCTTTGACCAACCTCTGGGTTTTCCTGCAATAACTTCTGGAAATATGAACTCAGCATATTCAAGCACTGTTCAATTCAATTCCGAGACTCCCTCAAACACCTGATACATAAAACTACCACAATAATAGGGTGATTCGGGCAAAATACAATGTAATTACAAGTGATGTATAATCTTTGTTTGCCAACCAGACGCCATCTTGTCAGCTAAAATGTCACGTGGTTTGGATTGCCTAATTATTCAAAGGATTACACCAAAACCCAAATAATCCTAAGAATAAACAATCAATTGTTCACATCACCACTGCTGGAGAACACTACAGGTAAGTCAACAGCTTTCCCCAACAAGTGCATCAGACAAAAGCAAACAAAAGCCTTCAAATGAAAATATATTATATCACCTTCTTCATTTTCAGAACCTGTTTACTTGGATCAGCACAGCCTGAGGCTTTTCATCATTTCCTACAGGTGTACTGAACGTCTGAAGAATCGTGGTGTCTGGTGAAATGATATTAGGAAACTGTGTATGAGTGTTTTACCTATCAATAAATGTTTCATCTCATGAGAAATGTTCATTGATCTCCTAACTTAGTGCTCTCTGTAAGTATGCCTCCTTGATGATATTATTTGAATGTTTACTTAGGGTACCATGAAAACTAAATCAAAAATCTATGCTCAGCAAATTTAAACGCTACAACATAAGATGACGCATTCCCTGACTGGTTATATATACAGAGTGGCATTGAAATAAGTGCAAATATTGCTCTACGTATACCATCGAATGGCACCAATAAAAACATAAAGGGATCAAAATAAAATTTGGACTTAGACATTTTTCTCATCCAAACTTCTACACTGTAGCAATTTTGACGTCACTACTGTTCAAATTTTCATGCGGAAGACACAATCACGCGGGGTTAAATCATTCAAATCGTTTCAAAGTATCGTACTTGATTTTTTTTCTCGTTTTTTGTTCAATTTTCGGAATAGAATCAAACTCCCGGTAAATTGAAAAATTGGAAAAAATCCGATATCATGATTATATTCGTTAGACTGTATCATATCGATGTGCTGAATATATCATTTCAAAAATACCTCGTATATAATTTTTTTATTTTCGAACCTGAAATCTAACTTATCTACTGCCAAAGTATTGCATTCTTCTTGTGAGAGAAATAACTACTTATACAATTCCATAAGCTGATGGTCGATCTTAAAAATATGAGAGCTTTGCTCCATAATATATAGTGCAGTATGTCCTTATATCGTTTGAAGCATGTGTCAAACAAATCAGTTGGGATAGGAGTCTTTAGCTCCTGCCTGTCATCAGTTCCAGCATAAATTTGGATTTTGCTTCAACAGCGAAATTCAAACAGATCCGATCCAATGAATAGCCTTTTCTTTCTAGGCTAATCGTCTTCCTGAAACTGAAAGGGCAAGGCTGGCGCTGATCCATGGAGAATGCCAATCCGATCTCAGGACCAACTGCGACGAAAATCTCCTGAGAAACCTCGCAGCTAACGCCAACAATCGCCAGGTTGGAGTCCACATGCTCTGCATGACGGTGAAAGAAGGTCTTCAGAAGGGCAACGGAGACCTAAACAAGGAAGTCATTAGGAGCAAAATCGAATTAGTATCTCAAGACAGCTCCAGGGTAGACGAGCATCTGCAGAAATGTGCTGTGAAGAAGGAGTCTCCTGAGAAGACAGCGGTTGCTTTGGTGCTCTGTTTCGTCCAGAATAGAATACCATACTATCATCAATTGTAAATCTGATAAGACTACTCGATTGAATTCTACCTACTATTATAGTATATAATATTTTTTGTACGTGTTAGTTCCCGTCAGCTATTGTTTTACTGCGATGAAGAGAATTTGGTTTTCGCTATCATTATTCTGAAATCTAGAGAATTCTGATACAATGATAGCTATTTTTAGTTGAATACTCATGTTATGCTCAATCCCAGACTATATTCTTGAAGGGAAAACATGGGAAAACCAAAACATGCCCAATCCAGAGTATAAACAAAGGAGTTGTTATAATGAAGTCAAAGGCAAGAGAACTGCTGTGCGTAATCAAAATCTGATCGGCATTTTATACTCGCAGGAGCATATTATACGATATGCGAAATGAGTGTAACGACATCTAGAATAGAAGTAAAGAAACACTTGCATCAGTATATTCATCCGATACGATGATTTCAGGAGTGTGTTCTGCGTGGCATTAGCCAGGGTATACTTGTTTTTCTCCCGTCATCTACCATTGTCGTTCATTTGCGGAAATTACTTTCACACTTCATTCCAATTCCATCTTTATTCGAATTAAACTTGACGAAAAAACTCACCTGAGCTGCACGTTGATATACACCGCCGTGAAGAATGTAATGTGCCTGTGTTGGCATACCGGACGAGTTGGCATGGTACTTTCTCAGCTTCTAAAAACTTTGCGGCGCAATTAACCTTCTCCTTCTGTTTACTTATTGTGTGCAAGCCGGTAAATGTGTTTGTGGCTACTTCCGACAATAAATAAAAAAGTTTATGACAATTTTGTTTTTTTGAAGGTAAGAAATGTTTAATTTACTCTTATAACTTGCTGCAAAACATGAACATCCAATATCTCTTTGAATTCCAACAAACGTAAATCGATTTTGTGAACCTAACCTCGAAATTCTACGGTATAACCGTTGCTATGTTGTAACTGGGTTGTGAGTAAATAGGTCTTACTTTTTGAAAAGCGTTTTCTGGCGAGTTGGCATAGGTACTGTTGATTCGGGCTAGTTGGCATAGTATCTTGCTTAATCCTACCCTCAGAAATTATACCTTTACCAAAAGCTACCGATACGAGCAACAAAAGAAAACGGAGCAACCCATCTAAATTTGGCATCTCAAACACAACACCCGAAATAGATCTTTTAAAAATTAAAACTGCTGAGAAAAATGCTGATTTAAAAAGAAAGGAGGCAAGAAAAGTCAAAACAATAATTTTTGATAATACTCATCCCAAAACTAAACCTGCACCTAGAAAAACTGCAACAATTGCAAACAGTTTGATACCGACCATGCAGGATCAATCAGAAATCAGTGACGATGAAGATGATACAGCCTGCATATTTTGCAATGGACTATTTTCTCGCTCAAAACCAAATGAAAAATGGATTCGTTGCTTGTCTTGTACTAAATGGGCCCACTGCGATTGTTCAGATTGCTCCTTCAAAACAAAACAGTATATTTGTGGACTTTGTGTTTAACTTTCAAGTAGTACTCCCTATTCTTTTCAAACTTCACTTTTTTCATTAATAATATTCGTTTTTCATATTTTTGGGTTCTGTTTATTTTAGTTTTAGGTATTTATCATTGTACCTGACTGTATAAGTTAAGCGTTACATTTCCGTTATATTTTTTATTGAATGAACTTTGACAATGACATCTCATTTAATATGTATTCACTTCAAGTAAGTCCAGTTTGGGCAAGAATGCATACCATGCCATCTTACCCGGAATATTCAGCCCGAGATGGCATAGCGAGGTGATTTAAAAAAATATATACTCAACCTAAAATCACAGTTAGGGTTCTATTAATTTTTGTTGTTGTTAGGCTAGGTATTTTCCTATTCAACTACCAAGTTTCAGCCCGTAAATCTCAAAAATAACTTGAAAAAAAAAATATTTACAAAATGTATGCCAACTCAGGCAAATTTCCCCTGATGTTTAGCAAAACAGTTGTCATGTGAAAAAGTGAATTTGTGAAAATTTTTACTCAGATGAGTTTTTTCTTATTGTTATAATGAATTCACATCAAGTAAAAGCAGATTCAAACCAATACATTGAAAGATTGGTTCATTATAATAGAATGAATGATGAATGGGTATACCGTTTTAGTAGGTTTTCTTTGTGTTCAATCGGTACAATCCATAAGTTCGAAATTTTAATGGAAAAGTAAAGGTGTTATCATAATATTTTTGCTTTGTTTGTATTAGGGCGGCGAAACACTCTGGACAGGTGAAAACGAAAAAAGTATCATACAATTTAACGTAATACTGGCGTTTCGTATATCGGTGAATTTTCAATCAGAAATCCCATTTCTCTTTCAAACAATCCAATCAAAGGCGAATCAATAAAAGACGCTCGTGGAAATTACAGTGATGGAGCTGAAACGACGTCTTCGAAGAGGCTGACGTGTGAAAATCGTCATCGTTCTTTCAGTTCGGCCAATTATTTCAACCAATAAATCGTAGATATCCAATTCTCTATTCTTGGAATTTTGCAGCAATGTGCGCTTTTCTCGATGTGATGGGAAATGCACAGTTGCAATAACTCTTTCATCGATTTAACTTCAGTTTAGCGAATGATCACAAACATTTTTTCTATCTGATGGTATTTTGGATAGAATCATAGTGGAGAAAGGAAATTGTGTGCTTCACAGAAAGTTCAAACTCGTCTTGTTCTGATGCGCACGAAGTCAACTGGAATATAAAAGTGAAGAAATAGAACTCTGGAGTACGCACTTCAATCCTTTACTGTTCTACAATTGAATTTTCGCCTGCTTCGATAAACATAACATGGCGTGGGTGAATCTCACTAAGTTTAGTCTGCTGCCGCACCAAAGGTACAGGCATGAATGTGACAATTGTGACCAAATTGTGACCAATGAATCACGCCATCTAACATTCGATATGTGAACCCCACGTCATCGTCTGAAATTCAATTGTTTATATCAAGAACCAGCCTGACGAAATAAATGAAGAGTGAGCGCACCAGAGGTTTATTTCCTCAATGATATAATGACAAATATAACGTGATCGTCCCAATTCAAATATGTCAGTTCGAAAATTGAATGAAATAATTTTGAAATGCCCACTTGTGTCTTTTCTGGTTATGAAAATTCCTTATTCCTTATATCCTAATTTCAAAGTATTTACTTATCATTTCATTCATATTCCAACACGTATTTGTTCGAAACATTTCCATGCAAAACTTTTTCGAACAAGTTTGAAAGTACAGTTGTTGAATTACACACCTCTAAAGAACAACTAATATATATATATACAAATATTTGAAACAAGAAGTCATGAACACATTCCGTCGGATATATATCAAGTTAGAAATGAATGAAAATTGATTGAAAAGATTTAATTTCTCACAAAATATAAATTGCAGGAAATATTTGAATAAAGCGGTAAAAGATCATACTCCTGTTGTTGATGTCAAAGCAGAAGCAACGTCAACTTCTGAATTTGAATCTGTCAGAATTGACACAATGGTTGATGAGATTGGAAATGCATAATAATTCGTATGTATTTGCTATTTGGTATTGCGAATTACCGCAATATAACAAATTCCAGTGTCAATGAAATAGTTCAATCGACGAAATAGGTATCTATTTATATAAATTGAATAATTCTATACAGATCGAGAAACTCGTAGATATTTCAATAAACTTTATTGAATTCATACCGCGCGCCTATGGCAACTGTAACTCTCTGTGACTAGCAGCTGTCATTGGTATCCCAGATGACGTCACATAATATGCGCGTAGGTACACCATCTTCTTCTTCCACTATGGATATCATCACAAACTTCAAATCCATATCGAAACAGCTCCTTCCACCAACCTCAATTATTTCATACAGTATGGTGCGAATGAAAGGAGATTAATTGCTAACCAATTTGCCCATTTTTGAGAAATTTCCTGAAATAGTTCGATTTTTACTTTCAATTTTCCACATTTATACGTGGCATTGGAATATGGTGATGCACGTTTGAGTTCTGACGTCCGCGACAATTCTTTCGACCCCATGTATTATTCAATTTTTGGAATCTCCATGAAAAGTATAATACCAAAATATATTTGAAATATGGTTTGTATACAGTTCATCCGTTGAATTGTGAGCTCTCGTGAAGTAGTGAAAAAATTCAATCATAGCAAAACTATCTATTTCTGAGGAATCTACTGTCGACTTATATCTTCAATTTGACACATTCGCGACAATTTTTTCAAACTAAACACCCTATATATCATCGAATCCTTTGAATCTCTATGAGAAGTTGGGGTCGAGATAGACTTATTGTACCAGTAACAGAGAAAGAAGTTTCGATATTGCGAAGTCATACCCATTGAGATATAGAACCTTCCGTAATCGTTTGAAATAACCCTATCAAACCCGGTGGCCGGTATCATTCAATCAGTCATGATAACTCCTAACCGATTATGGAATAAAATACAGGGTGTTTCATTCAAATATCAGAAGTTGGGGTCGTTTCCGGTAAGTTATTGAACAAAACTTATTTTGTCAAATACTTACCAATTTTCAAAATCCGATCTCTAATGATTCAGAAGATACAGCTGACCTTTTTTTTTACACTTCTATGTATGCATACAAACCATATGTGTGATATACTTTGGATTTCAGCTCCTCATATATAGGAATTCTAAAATCGATTAATTTATATAATAGGGTATCCATTTTGAAAAAATTGTCGCAGTCAGAACTCAAACGTGGATCACTCTAGAAATGAATGTATTCCTTTCATTTGCACCATACTGTATCAGTCAACATACGTATATTTATTGAGGGAAATACAAAGCCAAGAGTGTTGAAAATCAAAGGGATTCAATTCAAACTTTTAGAAATTAACTGAAAGAAGCGGAAAGAAGTTATAATAAATGTTCTGGAGATGAAGCTGAATTGGGATTGTGTATACAAAAATAAACAAGAATACATTTGAAGTGTAAAATATAATGAAATATAATCATTGAATTTGGAAACCAATTGAAACATATCGTAACAGCAATCCTTTCCCAAGAGGATGACAATCTTTT